CGGGAGGCTGAGGCAGGAGGATCAGTAAGCCCTGGAGTCAGAGACCAGCCTCAAAACAAAACGTGTTTAAAATACTGACAGACGACGTGGTGTTCCGGTGGGCCGGCTCTGGGTCACCTGTTTTGATGGCCGTATTCGTGGTGTCACGGTGAAGTCCAGCTGGCTGACAAACGCCTTTCCTCAAATAGTTATTTTTGTGATGAGAATCTACACTCCTCCATTTGTATTTTTCAAGCATCAATATGTCACCTTTAACTAGAGTCACCCGCGGTCCGAGGGGTCTCTCGGGATGGGTTGGTGTCTCACTGTAATCATGTGTCTTCTGATGAACGACTTGTCACCCACTCCCCTCTTCCTAGCTGACCGCCGTTCTCCCCCACCGACACTTTCTGGATCCCGCGGATGAGCCAGAACTTGCTGTGTGGCTTATTTCACTTAACACAATGTCCTCCAGGTTCGTCTACGCTGCAAAGGCAGATCCCATCCTTCTTCACAGCTGGATACTATTCCAGGTGTGTCTGTGCCACAATTCTGTCCCCGTCCCTCCATCTGTGGACCCTAGGTGGGTTCCACGAATCGTGGCTCTTGTGACTAGTGCTGTCCTAAGCCTGGGACTCGGGCTGTCCCCTGACACACTGATTTCACTTCCCTGGCTCCGTTCCCAGGAGTGGGGTTGCCAGGTTAGAGGGTAGTTATGTTCTTGATTTTTCGAGGAACCTGGAAACATGGTCTTGGTGGATCACGTCTCTGTGAGGGTTCTGCCTCAGCGGGCGGGGTCACTTGGGTCCTGAAATAACCGGAATTGCCTTTCATCTCTCCCCGGTGTGCAGACCAGCAGTCCCAAAGCCAGTTGTCACACTCAACCCGTGTAATGCAGAGTTCCCAGTTGAATTCCAATTTTGGATAAACAACGATGAATGTTTAGTGTGAGTATACCCCAGAGAGAGCCTGGAGGGGTGTGCTCACGCTGCCCGGTCTCCACTGTGTAGCTGACATCCAGGTTTCTCTAGGTGCCCCGTGTCCTACCCACTGAAGGGGACACTGTAAGCCTTGGTGTCCAGGGGTGACCAGGGGTGACCGTTCTTGGTCTGCAGGGCCAGGCCACTGCTGGGGGTGGGTGCTTTCCGTGTCTCCTGCTTCGTTTGTCACCGAGGCAGAGGTGGGGTGGGGAGGTGGGGGCCGTGGCGCTGGCGCAGAAGGAGGCGGTTCCTGGCGGAGGCCCCGTGGGAAAGTGCTGCGGAGACTCAGGCTCAATCCTGCCCGGAAACAGCTGGGAGTCAGAGCCACCGCCGCGGCCACGTGGCCCCGCGCTCTCTTGGGGCCACGACCACCCTCTGGGTTTGTCTTTGGAGACAGGGTCTCGCTGAGTGGCTCAGGGCCTCACTCAGTGGCGGAGGCTGGCTTTGGACTCGAGATCCTCCTGCCCCAGCCTCCCGGGCCCTGGGATGACAGGTGACGCCCCTGTACCCGGCCGGCAGCCCCACCCTTGGGTCGGTGAAGCTCAAAGAGCTCCGGGGGCCTTGGCCTCTTGGTGGGTTCGGATCAGTGTCCACAGAGGTCTGTGTTGAAGGTTGTCCCCGAGCTTGGTGCTGCTGGGGGGTGGGACCTTTAACGATGGGGCCTTGTGGGAGGTCCTCAGGTCACTGGGGCATGTCCTTAAAGGGGACAGTGAGGCTCCAGCCTCTGCTCTCTGGCCTCCCTGGCCCTGAGGTAAGCAGCTTGTCCACAAGTTCCCGCCACGATGTCCCGCCTCACCACAGGCCCCAACCACGAGGCCCACCTGGTCGAGGACTGAAGTCTCCAAAACGGAGAGCCAGATGCACCTTTTCTCTTTATAAGTTAACTATCTCACCCATTTGTTATAGTAACAGAAAGCTGACAGTGTAGCTGTCCAAAGAAACACTGGGAGTCTGTGTTTATCCAGACCCGCACCCAAAAAGTTCACAGCAGGCGGCTGGGATGTGGCTCAAGTGGTAGCGCACTCACCTGGCACGCGTGAGTGCGCTACCACCTCAGCACCACATACAAACAAAGATGTTGTGTCTGCCAAAAACTAAAAAATAAATAATAACACTCTCTCTCTCTCTTAAAAAAAAAAAAAGTTCACAGCGGCACAGCTAACAGGAGGAGGAAGCCCAGAGGCCCATACCCACATGGGAATATTACACACCCACTAAAAGGACACAGGCTACAACGTGGTTGCACCTCAGAAACAGGATGCTGAGTGTCATAGCCAGCTGCTGCAGGCCACATGGGGTACGATTCCATCGATAGAAAAATATCAGAACGGATAACTACAGAGGCAGGAAGTAGATGGCCAGGGGCTGGGGCAGGGGTGTGGGCGGGCTGCTCAGGGGGTCAGGCCTTCCTTTTGGGGTGACGGAATGTTCTGGAATTGGACCCTGGTGCACAGCCTGGTGAGCGTGCTAAAGCTGCGGGCCTGTCGGGGCCAAGACGGCAGAACTCAGAAATAAGCCGGGCAGCCACTAGGGAGCGGGGACCCTCTTTGGGGACATGGTGGCTGCAGGAGGCACTGGGTGTGTGTCCTGTGTCAGATCCGCGTCTTGCCGTGAAGGACCCGCCGCTCGTGCGTCTTACAGAGGTGGGGACTGAGACCCCCGTGTGGGTCCCCCTCACAGAGGCCCTTCTAGGGGACAGCCATCCACAGGCAGGGACACTGGGGTCACAGGTGGGGGCTGCCCTGGAGAGTCACTTGCGACCCCTGCTTGGGGGGTCTCCATGCAGAGCCCCCCACCAGCCTGCCCTGTCCACTGTCCCTGGGGGCCCAGGGCAGCTCCCCAGAAGTTCAAGTGGGCAGCGGCTGGGGTCGGGCCACCCGGGCAGGGACCCCGCATCAGGAGCCCAGCAGGGCCCAGGAAGGGAGTTCAAACAGCCTGAGGAGCCGGTCCTGGGCCGCAGGGCCACCCTGCTGGGCTGGTGACAACTTCACGGGGCCTCGTGTCCGGCCCGGTGGAGACCCAGGGGCTGGAGAGGCCAGGGTCAGAAGCAGAGGTGGAGACGCAGAGAGCCGGCCCTCCACGCTGGCTCCTGGGATTGGCCTCTGATACTGTGAAGGCAGAGCCTTGGATGGAGGAGGAAACTGAGGGCCAAGATGGACCCCTTCCACCTCCCTCCCCGTTGCCCAGCGCTGTGGACACTGCTCCACGCAGAGCCCCCGGCAGCCTGCCCTGTCCACTCTCCCTGTGTCCCCCCAGCCCCAAGCAAGCCCCCTTTGGCCAGTTAAAAAGAGCCCCACGGCAGAGTCGGTGGGGACCCGGGCGCTTCTGAAAGGGGCCTCAGAGCCCAGGCAGCCGGTCCGCAGGCCGCGGCCGGGGACCGTGTGATGGCGGCTGCAGGCGGGGCACAAAGGCGTCCTTCAGGAGCGGGCCGCAGGTCGGGTTTCTGCCTTTCATCTTCTGGCCCAGGTGGGGCCAGGCCTGGCGGCAGGACGCGGCCCCCTCGGAGGAGAGCGAGACCCTGTCGGGGTCCCCGCCGCCCCCAGAGCGGCGTCAGGGTGGCCGTGGGCAGCCCCGGGTCAGAGGCCTTGGGGGGCGACTCCACAAAGTGCCCGTTCAGAGCTGGGGGTGCCCCAAAGGCTTCAGGGAAATTCACCAGGGACCCCACGGGGACGGGCGCTTCCTCTGAGGGACAGTGCTCAAGGTCGATGTCCCTTCCTCCTGGAGATGGCGGCCACCCCGGGGTCCGTTCCCTCGTGCCCGTTGGTGGCTCCAGGACGGCGTCTGTGTCATCGGGTCTTCGTCCTGACCAGCCGCAGGGGCCTAGAGCTGGCCTCGCCTTCCTGTAGGTGTGGGGTCTGGCAGGTGACGCCAACGTCCCTCTCCATGTGGTCATCGCTGTCGTCTTTTGTTCCCCTGGTCAATGGCTCAGCCCTGGACGAGAAGCCCCGGCCCTGGCACTGACCTCAACGCAGGGTCCTGGCTGGTGGACCCCCCGGGCTCTTGCTGTGTGGCCCTGGCCGGCCTCAAGCCCTGGACGCAGCCAATCCTCCTGCCTGGGCCTCCCGAGGAGCTGGATGACGGGCACCTGCCGCCACACCCCGTGTCTGTGCTTTCCCCATGTGTTGGGGTGGCCGTCCGATGGCCAGGGAAGCCCTCCTGGGACATCAGCCATCTCCCTGCTCAGAGGATGGACCTCGGCCGCCAGCCACACCTCCCGACTTCCACAGTCCCCCGGGTCAGCGCGGGAGAAGGGGGGCTTCACAGACTGGGAGACCCTCCTCCAGACCTCGGGTGACTTGGACTCGGGGACAGGGCAGGGTGAGATGGACACTTAGAGCAGGTGGGAAAGCCTCCCCGGGCAACTTGGTCACTGGGTCACTGTGACAGCAGGTGACCCTGGGCCTCACTTGCCGCAGCTGTGAAGTGGGCTGTCTCTGGAGCCTGTTAAATGGGACGTTTTCAGATGCTCCTGGGTTTCACGGTGCCGTGTGTCCCCTAAACGACACGGCGGTACTGGGGAGGCTGAGGCAGGAGGATCCCTGGACCCACAGGTTCAAGGCCAGCCCGGGCAGCCCAGCCAGACCGCGCCTCGGGAACGAGGAGGAAGACTACACTGGATGTCTGTTGTCACCCACGGGTGCTGGGGGGCCTTGCCTGGGGAAGAAAGACCCCGGGGTGGAGAGGGGCGACCGCTACTGCCCACAGGGTGGAGGTCACAGCCCCACCTGCGTGGCCGGTTCCCCTGTTCCCCGACAGCGGCCTCTTGGGTGGAGAAAAGTGATTTCAAACAGAAACAGCGGCCGGTGTCCCTGATCTGGGCTCTGGACGCGAGACGAGCTTGGGACCGTGAACTTGGCGGCCGCCCTGGCCCCCCGGAGGCCCGGGGCGGAGGCCGGGCCTTCCTCACGCCCAGCCACCTGCTCGGCCGGCGGGCAGCGGCCTGCGAGTGGGGCAGCCTGGCCCCTTTATATAGCGGGGTATTTTTAACCGGCGGCCGCAGGAAGCCCTGCTGGGCCCGCTTCCTGCCGCCGAGGCCGGAGGCCGGAGGCCGAGAACAACAGCCGGGACGGAGCGGCTCGGGCAGAGCCGGGTCCCTCCAGCCCTGAAGGGGCCCGTCACAGCCGCGGGCCCAGGACCCAGGACACCCGCCCGTCTCCCAGGCTGGACCCGCGCCAGGTCCGTCCCCAGGTGGAAGGAGGGGGGTCCCCTCCCCAAGAAGGACCCAGGATGTGTCTCGGGGCGGGATTTTGGGGGGAAGGAAAGCCTCTCTGTGTTCCTGAGTGTGACCCAGACCAAGGTGACGGCATTTCCCAGGTTCCAGGTGACGCACCCCAGTTCCACCCCAGGACGAGACCCTGGTCCTCCCCTCCCCCAGCCCTGGCAATGGGAGGGGTCCCTCCTGCCAGCACCGTCCTCCAGGGTCCCCCTCGTGTCCCCCGAGGGTCAGAGTTCTCTCTCCCCACAGGGAGCCCCCGGTCCCCTCCGCTCTGACGCCCTCATGGTCCCCAGGACCGCGGAGGGACACCTGAGGCCCTGACCTACCCGGGCCCAGAGTCCCAGCCCGGGGACCGTCACTGCCTCCTGGCAGGACTGCGTGGGACCCACCCAGGGAGCACCTTCCGCGGAGGGTGACGGGGCCTTGGGCCAGACACTCCCCCAAATCATGGAGGCCAGCCAAATGACGTGGCCAAATGTCCCCTGGGGTGCAGGGCTGTCCCCAGGGGGAACGCAGGTGGACGTCTTTGGGGAGTGGACAAGATCCCCTCCGAGGCACAAAGGAGACTCGGAAACGGGTGACCCGGGAGGGGCCACAGCAGCAATCGGAGAGACGGGGCCCAAGAAGGGGGCCTGAGGGTCCCCTGTCCTTGGCACAGAAGCGGGGCCCGGCTGGGTTTGGCCCCGTCATCTTGAACCAGGGACTGGGGACAAGTCCTCCCCCCCAGTCTCAGTTTCCCCATCTCCTACGGGGGACAGGGCCCTGCCGAGGGGACACTGGGGCTGTCATCGGACGTGGGCAGCAGCCCCGAGGGTTTTCCCTTGGTGGCCCCAGGCTGGTCCGTGGGGAGCCAGGTGGGGACCCGTCCCCAGTTCCCAGGGTCCCCGCTGCTTCCCGGAGGGACACATCAGCATCCATCCCCAGGAGAGGGGAAGAGGCTGGAGGGAGCCTCCACGGAGGCCAGCCTCCTCCTCCTCCTCCGCCAGGCACAGAAAACACCAATGGCTGTCCTGCCGGGTCACACTTCCAGGTGGCGGGTGACGCTCACGGTGACGAAGATAACCTCTCCTTCGCTCAGGGAGGTCGCGGGAGGAGGGCAGCGGGCACCTGTATGGCGGCTTCTCAGCAGCTCTCCTGAGGGACAGTGTGACACCTTCGCTCGCTTAAGCGCACGGTGACGTCCGTCTGTCTGCCCTGCGCTCCCGCTGCCACGGAGGGTTCTGGAACATTTTTGTTGCCCCAACAGAAAGCCCACCCCAGCCACCACCCACCAGGACGGTGGCTTTTACATTTTTAATAGATGAAAACTATTAGAGGGAGAACGATCTTTTGTCACGTGTGAAGTGTCCCTGAGATTCTGATCTCATACAGTTTCATCGACACGAGGCCACTGTGCGCTCTTGGCTACGGCTGCCCTGGGCTCCGGAGGCACAGCCGAGAGGCCGAGAGGCCGGGAGGCCGGAGGCTGCAGGGAGCTCCTGGGGCGCACAGGCCGCTCGTCCTCACCGTCTGGTCCTCTGCGGGAGGCGCCGCGGGCGCTGCCGGGAGTCCTGGTCCCCCTGAGCCGTGGGCCTGGCTGGGCTCCCTCTGTCCTGCCCGGGGAGGCCGACCCCAGCCTCCGGCTTCGACTGCCCCCATTCTACCCCCAGAGACGGCTCCAGCTTGGAGCCTGAGTGTCCCTCAAAGGCCCACGCGCTCAAGGCTTGGTCCCCAGCTGCTGGGAGGTGGGTCCTTCCAGGGGTGGGACCTAGTGGGAGGCTTTCAGTCCTTGGGGACGAGTCCTTGAAGGGGACAGTGGGGACCCAGCCCCTCCTGTCCTCTCTGCTCCCCTGACGTGGTGAGCTGTGGCTCCGCGTCACCACCTGCTCCTGCTGCCTCACCACAGGCCAGAGCCACAGGGCCAGGGGCCACGGATTGGAACCCCTTAAACTGTGAGGCACATGAACCTTTTCTCTTTATAAGCTGATGGCCTCGGGTAATTGATCACAGTAACGGCGGCTGCCTGCCACAGAGGCCTTCTGAACATGGCTAGATTGTGTCCGTCTCAGGGTCGGGCCCCTGGACATGGCCTCCAGCCTCTCCCTTCCCTGGCCCCAGCCGTCCCCTCACTATTCCTCAAAGGCACCGGGTCACCTGGAATGCTGTGTCCACTGAGCTGCCGAGTCCAGGCCTCAGAACACTGCCCAGGGTGGCCCGTCCAGATCCTGGCTCAAAGCCATCTCTTCAGAGAGGCCACCTGGGAAGGCGGTGCCTTAGTTCAGCTCTGCTGCCCTTCGGGGTGGACCACTCTCCGTGGTGGGGACGTCCTGGGCTCTGCAGGGCGTCCAGTAGCACCCTGGCCTCAACCCACCCGATGCCAGGAGCAAACCTGTCCCTGGTCACAGCAGCCCAGGCCACCTCGCATGGAGCAAAACCACCTTTGGCGAGAGGCACCTCACTTTCTTTTTCTTTTGGTGGCACTGGGCTTTGCACATGCCAGACCAGCGCTCTGCGCCCACCTACTCCCCGGCCCTTTTTATTCTCTATCGGAGACACGGTCTTCCCGGGTGGCCGAGGCTGGCCTCAAACTTGCGATCCTCCTGCCCCAGACTCCTGAGTCACTGGGATTACAGACGAGCGCCACCCACCCAGACAGAGTCACCTCATTTTATAAAGCAGCTCGATGTCCCACTGTGTGGACACACGCGGTGTCCTGAGCTGCCCACGGTGGCTTCTGGGTTTCCTCACAGTTGGGAATAAAGCAGTTTAGATCTGCGCGTGTGACGTGGGGTCTCACATCACAAAGTCCCCGGACAGAAGTTGGCCAGATTCGGGGGAGACCCAGCATGGGGTGCAGAGGCTTCTTGGGCCAGCACCCCAACACTGGGCTGGACGGTCCCCTCCCGGCTGGGGTGTCCCCTGCAGGAGAGGGGGTTGGGCAGCTTCCCTGGCCCCCTCCCCCCTGTACCAGGAGCTCCCCCTCCCCCAGTGCCGGCACCCCCCAAGGCATGACCACAAAGTCTCCGGACCCTGGTGGGTGGAGAGAGCTCAGAGGTGGCCCGTCCCCTCGGCCGTGGCTGCCGACACCCAGGCCTTGGTGGGTCCCGGGAGCAGTGGGGACAGAATCAGAGTCGAGTCCTGCGGCCTGGGGACCATGAGCTTCAAAGAGGGGAAGCGGCCGGGTCCCCGAGGACGGGGACTCGAGAGTCCCTGCATGCCACCCACGTCTGTCGGGGTCAGACCGGGCCTGGAACAGAAGCCGGAACCCCCCGGGCTGTCCCTGGTGCTTGGAGGGAAGCCCCTGGAGACCGCCAGGGGGACCCTGGGACGGGGACGTCCCTGGGAGCGCTCACCTGCAGGACGAGGCGCAGGCCACCTCCTCCTGGAAGCTTCCAGAATGTGTCCTGTCTGCCCTCCCTGGTCCCCCCAGCCGCCCCGGGTCTGTTGGCTTCTCCTTCCTCATCAGGCGGATGGCAGGTCCAGGGAGCCCTGGGAAGGACTGGAGTGGCGTCAGCGGGGCTGAGAGAGGAGGGGGACACTGAAGGCAGGCACTCCCAGCTCTGCCTTCACGTTTGGGTCCCTTAGGGACATTTTAAGACTCATGGTGGGCTGGGGGTGTAGCTCAGAGGCACGGGGGTGATGAAAGAGACCTGTGGTCACCCCACCTTCAGTGCAGTAGACAACCCCAGCAACTGGACGGACCTGTGTCAGGTGCTTCCCAACATGATGTGCAGGGGACACCTGGCCTTGCCCCTGAGGATCCTGCCCAAGAGTCACCACCTAAATTTGGTCTCGAGGAGCCAGAGGGGCAGCCAGCCCAGGGACATTCTGCAAAACAGCGACTTCACCATCTCCAAAAATGTCAGGGTCACAAAGGACCCAGGAGGGCGGGGGTCATTTCTAAGTCAGAGCCAGTTAAAAAAGTCAGCCAAGGCAGCCCCTGACCTGAGGGATCTCGGATGAGAGAAGAGAAGGGGCCGTCAGCCCGGTCAGCTGGGGGGGGACGGTGGACGGTTGTGAGCTGGGGGCAGGGTCTTCCTGAGACGGTGGCCCACGCCTGTCATCCCAGCACTCAGGAGGCTGAGGCAGGAGGATGGCGGGTTCAAGGCCAGCCTCAGCAACGGCGAGGCCCTGAGCAGCTCAGGGAGACCCTGTCTCTAAGTAAAATGCAAGCACCCCCCAGCCCAGGGGCCTCCCCGACCCCGGTGGTGACCGAGACCCACCTATGTATACAGTGGTGCTCAGAACGCCCTGCAGACAGCGGAACCTGCAGGTGCATTTGTGCACAACTCACCCGCGTCCCCGTCGCTGGGCTTTAGTTCACTTTATTTCTGAATCTCGCGACGCGGCCCGGGCTGATCCTGAGCCCTGCCTCGTCTCCCGAGTGGCCAGGACCCAGGGCCCGTCACCACGGCCACCTGTCTACAGTTGGGGGGACGATGACAGGAGACACATTCCCCCGGGTTGTCTTGACCTGTGGGTGGGCGGATCCTCAGGCCTGTCCCCCTCGGCATCCGACCTGGGGCGTAAATGAAGCTCAGCAGGAGGTGACAGGAGTCATGCCCCGCTCTGTCACCACCGTCACAGTCACCACGGACCTAGGGTTGGCTTGTTTCTGGAATGTTCTGTTGGATACTTTCCGACCAGGTGACCTCAGGGAACTGGAATCATGAAAAGTGAAACTCCACGCCCGGGAGACAACCGCGGCCAAAGGACATTTTGGCCATCCCCAAAGGACATCAGGTCCCCGTGAGCAGCCACTGGTCACAGGGTCCCCCAGCCCCTGTGGCCTCTCCGGTGGCCTCTGTCCCCACTCCACGTTTCCAGGGCCACCCCCCACAGCGTGGACCTGACTTTGTGGCTGAGCAAATGCTCAATTTGCTGTCAGCGGGGCTTGTCCTCTGTGTCCCCACCACGAATGCTCCCCGGCAACGCCTCCCCACAACCCGGGGGCCTGGGGTGAGGGGGCCGGGGCTTTGGCAGCCTCGGTGGGCCCAGTGGGGACACGTTTTAATTTAAAAGTGGAAAGTGGGGGCTTGCCGTGGGGGCTCCAAGCGGCGGAGGCTGAGCCTCGGCAGGGCGCGGGCCATGCCTGACGGTCCGGGTTGGCCTTCTTGGAGCCCCGGCAGCCGCAGAAGTCCCCAAGCGGAGCCAGGAATAGTTCTGCCTTTTATTTGGAAAAAAAATGACAGGGCGGCCCGGGCCCGCCGCTGGGAGCGTATTTCTGAACAGGACCTGACCGCACGCGGCTGAACGATGCCAGCTGCCTAAACACCCAGCCGGGACCTAAACACAGGTTCCTTTCTGCTCTGTTTGGAGATCTGTCCGACTATTTCTGCACAAAAACAGATTGAAAATCTTGCTGGCTCAGGAAGTCCCGCAGCCGCCAGCACCGCCCCCTCTTCTCTCTGCCTCCCCGCGTGGACCTCAGGCCCGTCTCCTCCCTGGGGACCTCCCGAGCCCGGCCAGCCATCTGTGGGTCCCCACGTCTGTCCCCAGTCCAGGGACGGGGGAGCTCTGAGGTGGACGGGCTGAGACAGGCGACTCCTGGGGTGAGGGCCAGAAAGAGCCTCGGGCATCACGGGAAGGAAGAGGAGCGTGTTGTCACAGTGGTTGAGCCGAGATTTGAACCTGGGTCCCCGGGTATTTGCAAGGCACAAAGTTCAAAGGACGGAGCCACGGAGGGTGGGGATGTGAGGTGCAGCTGCTGGTGTTTGGCAACTCCTCAAAAAGGGAGGCCTGGAATTGCCGCAGGTACCGTCCGGCCGCTGGAGGTGGGTTCCCCAGGGGACAGAGAACAGGTGTCCAACACGATCTGGAGATTGACAGGAGCAGAGTGCGCCACCCACCCGCGTCCATCGGGGAGGAGGGACACTCCGCTCTGTTCGCACAACGGAAGGCAGTGGAAACCACCCTTCAACCCTGGGACAGGCTGAGCGCCCGTCATCCCAGGTGCTGGGGAGGCTGAGGCAGGAGGATGGTGAGTTCAAGGCCAGCCTCAGCAACAGCGAGGCCCTGAGCAGCTCAGCGAGGCCCTGTCTCTAAGTAAAACACGAAAAGGGCTGGGGAGGGGGCTCAGGGGTCAGTGTCCCTGGGCTCTATCCCTGGCCCAGCTTGGATCTGTCCCCAGGGAGCTGTCCGCCTGCAGGGGCGGGTCAGGCCGGTCCCCAGAGATGGGAAGCCCGGCCTGGGGAGGGGGAGGGGGAGGGGGAGGGGCTGCCACGGGGGTCCCCTTGGGGAGGCGGTGGGCAGCGTCTGGAATGTGCAGACTGCACACTGGTGGACTCTGCTTCACTCACAGGCACCAATTAAAAAAATAACGGTCTTGGGT